TAATAATTGTTAAATATCAATTATCTAATAAAAACATTTATTTATTCTAAAGATGAAGATGGTGTACTAGGATTTTCCGCAAAGAAGAAAGAACTTGAACAAAAAACATTTATAAAATATAATTCTGCTAGATTCACAATTGCAGATATAGCTGTGGGTGAAAATCCGCATTGTTATTGACTACTGAAGGCTTTTTATATATATTTGGAAGTAGAGATGCTTGTCAACTAGGGAGGAGGATTTTGAAGTATTATAAGAGGAATGGATTGAATTTTGAGAAAATGTCTATCAGGAGAATTAAAAAAATTTTTGCTGGAGCATATCATAATTTTGAAGTTGATGATGATGATATTATTTACGCATGTGGACTAAATAATTATAGTCAGTGCAGTATGACTCATCAGATTCTTTTGTTTCGCACTCTACAAAAGTAAAATTCTTCGAAAATTTTCCCAGAGTAAAACAAATTGCTGCAGAAATGCACTACTCATTAGCATTGCTAGAAGATAGCAATATATACAGTTTTGGCCATGCTGATTATGAGCAACTAGGTATCGGAGACTTATCAACTAATAGAGTATCTACGCCTACTCATGTTTCAAAGCTTGTTAATTGTCAGCATGTCGCAGTTGGTGATCATCATTCTTTGGCAGTCGACAAAGAAAATAAAGTTCATATATGGGGCTTTGATGAAACCTTTGCCTTAGGAGACAGGAGTGAAAAGGATAAAAATTTACTATTTGAAATTAATTGTACAGGATTGAAAATAAAATTTTATCAATTGGTGGTGGTTCCCAATACTCCGTTATATTGTCTCAATTCACAAATTGATTTGTCCTATTTAAAAAATATTACGATTAATATGTTCATTGAAATAACTTGTTTATTCGATTCGAAAATTGTATTTCTTTATAGTTCAGTAAAAAAATTATATTTATTTTTTCGAAATAAAAACTTTTCAAAATTTTGATTGGTGTAATTTATTTGTTTGAAAATAAATTCTTATTCCGTGAATTCTCTTAAATCTAATTAAGATCTTCATGATAATAAACAGTGTTTTTTGGGATGCGTAGATATGCATCAAAAGCACGCACATTGTTTTACGTTTCAAGAACAAATAACCTAGTGATATCTACATGATCATTAAAAACAGCACTCAGACAGGTTTGTGGTGCAGACAAATTTTTTAAAATTCATTAAGGTTAACGTTAGATTAGTTTTGAAACTTATTAACAAGCGATCAGTAAGATGATTCGAGATGGTTTAAAAAATTTAAAATTATAAAATTGGATATTTTAATCATAGTAGGAATTAATGTTGTTAATGAGAGCTTTTATATTTGAACAAATATACAGAACATGGTATGGATATTTAAAAACTGGTAGCAATCAACTACCACAATATGTCAAACAATAGGAAATATAAGTATTTTTATACAAATTAATTATTTATAATAGTATAAATAATTTTGAAATTCTGATTTAATTTAAAAGTCTAAATTAGTAGAATATAAATTTTTTTGACAAGATTTTCTCGTAAATATAGAAGGGTTAATTTTTTAATGAAGTAGAGTAAATCTTGACTAAATAAATAGCTTAACACTAGTTCTTATTATTGAAAGCTCGAGAGAAAATTGCTATAAAAATTTTTCACTAGCAGTTCTAGCTAAAGAAAAAATCACCTAAATTTATCAAATACAATCAACCTGTCATATTAAACAAAAAATCTTATCAATATTACTGTTATATCAATCAGAGCTTTGTCATCTAGATCAGTCTTGAATGGCAAATATTAGGATTTGCTATAATTGACTCTTTAAAAAGTCATTTATAGCAAAATCTGGACGAATGACGTTTCTAAAGAAAAGACTATTACTACTAGATCAAAGTATATTAAATAAGTAAAAACTTTAAAAAGATACTTATCGATTGCATTTTTTCTATAAATCTCTAAACTAGAATAAATGATAGCTCTACTCTCCACTAGATTATAAACATTCAGTTGTTCTTTGACGAGGGCAATGGTATTTGATAAATTCATATGATTTTTTCATTGGTTAGGACTGCTAGTAAGACTTTTCGCGTAATTCTCTTTTGAGCCGATCAATAATAAATACTAGAATTAAGCAAATTATTTAGTTAATTTGGAAAAGGTGGTTAATGTTTCAATAATGGAACTAAGCACTAATACAAAGCAATTCTTTAAGAATAGCGACAACAGACATCACCATAGTTTATAAACCTTCCATAATCTATATACCAATAAAAATTTTCTAATTCTTCTATATCTTTTTGTAATTCTTGAATCTCATTTAACATATCTTTTATTTGTTTTTTAAATCCGTTGTTTACTTCACATGGATATTCGCAAAATTCTTTAATAGTATATTTTACTTCTTTAAAAATTATATAATTTTCTTCATCTACGTTTTCAACTTTATAATTTTCAACTAATACTGATTGTTTAGAAAAACATCGATATTCTAGATTTTGTACTTGCTCTTTGGCCAGTTCTATAATTT